CGGCCTGACCGGCTCACGGACGCAACACGTGAAAAAATGGAATAAAGGAACACAGGCACACGGATACACACACGATATACACACACCTGCAGCGAGACTAAAATGAAAAAAAGAAGATGAAAACGAAAGAAAAAAAGATGACGAAACGACTAAAACGAAACACTTTTACATACATGATGCCTGCGCGAGCGCGTAGATAGAGTTTAATCGAGGTAACGTTATGTGCGCATTGTAAACGTTTTGGTACTGTACGGCACTGTATGACGCGTCTCTTTATACGTAAACACGTACTTCTTAACTAAATAATAATCCATCGCCGCGGTGAAGCCTCTCGAAGCGTTTTTTACGCACCGTTACCGGCTTTCCTCGCTTTCGTCGGCCAGGCGAAATGCCGGCTGATCACCTTGTCGTGCAACGTCGAGCGTACGCCAATCCGATTTTCGACAAATTCGGACGATCTGACTACTTTCCCTATTTTTTAACGTTGACACGTTGTGTGTAATGTGTAGATTCTCTCGAAAACTGAGCTGTCTGTGACAATTTTGTATTCAAAATCACCTAAAAGATACAGGGTCGAAGTTATCTTAAAATCTGATCATTTCTGGGTAAAACACGATTTGATCGATTTCATCAAATTTTAGTATGAGACGAGTTTGATTGATTTTGATAAAGTTGTGCAGAATCGCAATCGAATTATTGTAACGATTATTAATAATTATTGTAATATATTACAAACTGATTCAATTATATTTGTCATATCTTTCATTCAAGTCGCAATACAATTTGTAAATCGAATCGAATTTTAAAGCTTGCTAAATCAGAAATTAACTGGTAATTGAACAGAGAGATAATAACGGATACTGTATAAAAACTCTGAATAAAATAAAATTACTCTTAATTTTGAATATAGTACTTATAAATTTTTAATACATGAAACGGTAAGCTACACTCGAGAGAACAGTAATTAAATTAATTGTAAAGTTAGGACTATTTAATTTGAAATTTTAGGATAATTGAATCACTACGTAATTTATATTACAAGATAATTAAATCTCCATGTAATTGAACTAAAGCGCAATAAAATTTCATAATTAAATTGTAATGTAATTTAATTAGCACAACTATATTAAAAAGTAAATAAGAGTGCTCATAGTTGCTCAGGTTATGAAAGACAATCTACATTCAAAATTTTATATCTGGTAATTACACGCGTCTAATAATCGCACAAAACTCTTCAAAATAAGAACTTTACCTCATTGGACACGTGCCAATTCATTAATTTACACCGATGATAAATTCTAATTCGCAAAAGGTTTCAATGTCACAACTCAGTCAACGTATCGAATGTATTTCAACTTTGATCCTTTGCATCCTTGTTCCGTGTGTGTTAAATCTATTTTCCCTTCGATTAAACACATCGTTTACTTACAATTAGAACTGTAAATGTTATTAACAGTATATCTTCTCGTCGTTAATGCAATAAGTAAGATTAATAAAAAAGGGTAATCTCTAAAACTTGAAATTAGAAATCTAGCTTGATACACGGCTCGACAGATGCGAAGGATCAATATTTTCAATTCAATATTAAATTCATGTAAGTGAAATTAAGATTGTGGTCTGTATCGTCTACAAATTTGCAACCCTCTTGTTAAAACGGATAACAAGAATAAATTATTGATAGCTAAAGATGGTTTGGATAGCACATATGGAGATTTATGGTGCTACAACATGTGGCAAGCTAATACACAATGCGTGTACAGTCAATTTCCCAATTCGAAAATTTGAAATTTTTATATTTCTGAATTTCTAAATTCCCAAATCCTCAATTTCCGAATTTGTAGATTTTCACATCTCTAAATCTCCAAATCCCCAATTTCCAAATTTCTAGATTTTCACATCTCTAAATCTCCAAATCCTCAATTTGTCAGCAACCCAAATTTCTAAATTCTGAAACTCCCAATTCTCAAAATTTCCCAAATCCCCAAAAATTCAGAAATTTTCCAAGTTCTCCAAATCGTAACAATTCACACGTGATTACAATCGCGTGCAACTATACAACGCAATATACATCGCGATCTAACTATACCTCCAATAAAAATCCTTATTATCAGTGAAATTTTGCAAGAGGGTTGTCGAAGATCGCGTTGGTTCGGTGCTCGAGAACGAAGCAAAAGGTTTATGGGACCCGCGTGGCGGCCCCGTGAGACCCTTCGTGGATTCAATTGAACGTGATGACGATCAACGACCAATAAATATTTTCCTTTCGAGAGACGTCGTTCGTCGCGGCCGCGCGTTTCACTTCGCCGTTTATGTCGATTTTTTGTACGCGATCAACGATTCCGATCGACACACGTTTAGCTGGTTAGTTAGTTGTTACGTAGGGGTCGTCAGCGTCGCGCGAACGACCATCGATTCGATATTGTTGCAAATTAATATCGTTAGACGTTGTAGAAACGCGACAACGATCGGGCGACACGTTGATTTTACGGGGACCTTTGTCCTCTCGTTTTTCGACTTTCTATATGCGATCACTATTTCTAGCTCAATCAAGAAGTTCCCCGAGTTAGTTGCGTTCGCGACGTTTTCTTCGGAGGATGTTGTATAGTTGAATAAATTTTATTCGCGTGAACTCTCATCTCCCGCAACACGATGAGATGCGTTTCGTAAAATTGTTCAGAGTCTAATATTATAATTAGGTGAAATGGTTAAATAAAAGTTTAGGTGATTCGGTTGTTCGTTGACTCGATTGTTTCTCGATCCTCGACGAAATACCCTTTTTAAATTAGACGAAATCGTTGAAGGGACTAATCGCGAACGAGTGTTGATTATTCAACTATATCCATTCTGTCTGCACCGGAACGTCGTTTAGTCGAATTTAACGCTAAGTTCGAGTTTCGTAGCGCATCCGCGGGCTCGGTCGATACTTTACAGTTAAAGTGTCCCACATTTTTTAGCGCAGCTTAGCAAGACCGCATAGCGTGACCGTAGTTGATAGTCGTAACAGAGTTTATAGATAAGTTTCACCGTAAAGTATCGTCCGTTGCTCGCGCAAGGTCCTCCACTCTTATTGTAATTTAGCGATGACACACGGTACGGGTCCCTCGAGCAGAGCGGCCGAAGGCTACAAGACATTAATGTCATCGAGAATCGAGCGCATTTTTATATTTGCGAGATCGTTGTGTTAACATTTCTATTATACACACACGCGCGCGCAAACATATTATATATTGTATATTATTCATCGCGTTACCATTCATTGTCCCGAGGCTGGCTACTCGAGGGACTACACTCGGTTCTTTAATCATCACTTCGAATCCTTCGGAGGAGTCGAGCGACGTGTCGAATGAAAGTATAGAAAGAGCTTCGACGATTAAATGGAGACGTATAGAGACAATTATTTTTGGAAGAGAAAGAGTGCTTTTTAGCTGACTCTAAATGGCGAAACTTAGTAAATTGTTGAAAATAACGGTGAAAGAAGATGGAGAATTAAAGAAGGAAGATTGTTTAGCTCGAAGGGAAAAGAAAGAAACAAATTGAAAATATAATAACAGAAAGAGAGGAAGAAGGCTCGACGAGAGCGATGGCGAATCCGTCACGGTGCGCCGACTGACACGTTTTCGGACGGTTTAAATATACTTATAGCGAAATTAAGAAATGCATATTATTCTGCCGATTAACGAGTAAGTGCGTAGAATTCGTTTAACTGTAGATAAAGACACGTACACAGTCACGTACGCGCGAGTGCAAGATACATTACCACCTGTAATCGTTCACCCACAAAACCACCCACCCAGCCACCCACCCACCCATGTGTACACAGCGTACAAACACGGATATCACACGACACGTGCAGACACACGAACACGTACACACGAACATACACACACACGTACACGGACACTTACATATACTTAGACATCGGAGATAATCGAGGTACGGTTAAGAGAAAAAAAAGAAATATATAAAACGAAACGAATGGAGAAGAGAACGTGAGAAGACGAGAGAAAGAGAGAGAGAGAACGAGAGTAATGGGAGATATTAAAGAAAAAAAAAATAATAAATGCAAAACACACACACACAAAGGCGCAACACGTACACGCGCACGCACGTTGCAATTAGACGTTATTATCGCAATTTGGAGTTAAATTTTATAATATATAATATATAAAAATATATATATAATAAATAAAAGTTGACGGATAATATAGAGTTATATTAAATATCGATTAAAAAAAAAAAAGAAGAAAAAACGAGTGGGAGAGTTGTGTTCATTAGGGTGGCGCGGTACACGCGCTATCGACTCACCTTAATCCTCTGACTCTTTTAATCCTTTTAACACCTTCCACGATTCCTTTCAAGGCAATCTCATCGCGACCTCGTTTTCGAACGTCTTTCGCTTTCTTCTCTGCTTCGTCACTGCATTTTTTTGTATGAATACTTTTTTAATTTCAGAACGAAAAGATTGCTTAATTGAAAATAAACCAAACCGTAGAAGCTTGAGAATGTCAAATGAAGTTTCTTAAATAAAATTTCTTTTCTAACCCTTCTTCAAATTTCCAATTTTAATTCCGTACGGTTTTCTCAGACCCTTATTTAGTTTAACGCACCGCCATAGTAGAAAGAGTCGTAGACACGTGCTAAAATGAATTCTTGAAGATATTAAAAATTCATTTCTTAACGCTTTAATTGTCTATTTTATACTATTACCGATTTTGATTATATACGGAGCTATTATATTCTTTTCGTCTCTGAATTATTTTATCAAATTAAATTCATAGTGCCGTCCTGGTGACTGTCGTAGCTTTATAAAATTGGTAAGTGCTAACTTAATTTGAGAACTAACAAATATCTAAACCATCAAATATTATATTATAAAATTTTAGGAAATCTTGTTTCCCTTAAAAATCTATATATACTTTTTTAATTATTCAACAAAATTAAATCCATAACGTCGATAATTTCTGCAGCGAAAGAAAGTAATTTATGGACTCCTTCAAAGAGGGCGCAGGAGCTCATAATCATAATACCAGCCGCTAACAATGAGTTCATCTGTCAGTCGACGTACAAAGTGAGAAAATCTATAAATTCTCTCTAAATTATTCGAATTTCACTTGTTTCTTATCACTAATTTATTTGCACAAATCTAAAATTTGTATAAAAAGTTATATACTGCAGTTCAAGTTCTAAGTTTAAATGTTTGTTCGTTTTTTTAAGGTTATGTTCATTGTTAAGTTTGATTAATTTATATTAAACAGAGGACATAAACTTGAATTCTTTATATAGTCTGAAGATATCAGAAGGAGCTTTAGTATGCGAGGAAAGTATTTTGAAAGGAGATATCACTATCGGGCCAAGAACTGTGATACATCCAAGAGCAAGTATCATAGCAGAAGCTGGTCCGATCATAATAGGTGAAGGGAATATTATTGAAGAAATGGCAACTATAGCAAACAGGTAAATTTAAAAAGTTGAGACAAACATAATTTTTCTTTTAGTTGCTAATGGAAATGATTATTTAATACAGATTACCCGCAGATGCACCAGAATCTACGACAGTACCAGTGCAGATAATAGGTAATTATAATGTATTTGAAACCGATTGTACTTGTCAGGCATTTAAAGTTGGAAACAACAATATCTTGGAAAGTAAAGGTAATGCTAACATGAAGTATCTTGCAAAATATTTATTAGTTATGTACCATATTAGAATCATCTTCTCTTTTACAGCATATGTTGCTCGCGAAGTTGAACTAACAAATGGTTGTGTCATTGGCGCATCTTGCTCTGTCACGGAATCAGAAGTGATACCTGAGAATACCATAATTTATGGCAGTCAGTGTCAACGCAGGGAGATGTATGATAAACCATATGTATGTTTGCATACAAATGCATTTCATATTACATGTAAATGATAAGTGGATTAAAATTGCATAATTTTAAACATTCTATTTCAGCCTCAAATGGGTCAATTAGAATTCTTAATGAAAGTTCTACCAAATTATCACCATCTCCGTAAGCCTAATATAAAACCAAGTAAAAGTGAAGGGGGAGTATAATTTTGATTAATTTAAGTAAAATTTGCTTATGAACACAATTAACAAATACTAATAATTTTGTATCACTTGATATGTGATAAAACTTATGTAAGTTACACTGAACGATTATTAAAAGTGCATTATAATTGTTTTTTTCTATATAACATATATATTGTGTAAAATAAAAGTATTACTATTTAATAAATTATTCACATTCACAATTATGACTGTATTTTAATACCACACACTTAATATATAAAAATTACTTAATGTAAAACTGAAGATTATTAATGTAATTTTTAATTATTATAATTATTAAAATATGTACAGTTGTCATTACTACAGTAATTTTTATCAAATTAAAATTTTTAATTGAACACTGCAGTTTTAGACATTGCCAGCAATCAACTCAAACTGCCAGACTTGTAGTTCCAGTTCTTGATAATAGAGGACACATCAATCACTAAAATTAGTATAGTTTCAATTTTTTGTATACAAATGTGATTAATTTATTGCAAATGTTACTACTGATTCATAATTTAATAAAAAATTGTTTTGTTGTAGAACCATCTATAATACTCGGTATTATACTTTTATTCATTTTTTAATATTTTTTATGTACTTAATTGGGCAATATAATGCATGACTATATAACACGTAGGAATGTGACGATATATTAAAGTGTAACAATATGTGGCGACATAAAATGATAATATATTAAGGTTCAAGTACTCATAATAACCATCTACGCTATGATATACATGAAAATAATAAGTGAATCACTTTGATATATCCCACAATATTTATTTAACATAGTAGCCTATAAGAATATGATCCTACGAAGAATAAGATCATCAAAACGATGAGTGGTCGCAAATCCGTGCACGCTTGCGACAAGTTAATGTAACTTGATGTTTCTCCTTCTCTTCGTTCTTCTCCGGGCTGACTCTCCAGAGAATCCAGCAGCACAATACTAAACGCTACACCTATGAATATGAATTAGCGTCTCGTCGAGGGGGTTGGATGCGAACCATTTACCGTTTCCGTCAGCTTAACCGCGTACCGCAGTGGCTCTCAATGCGCCACCCATTTAAACCGCAAATGTGCAAATCGTGTTATCACGTAATTTATACGAATCGCTTTATCAAATATACGTTGATCAAATTTGATACAAATCTCTACAATAACCATGCTAAACAGCAATCACAACCGTTTCTTTCAATCTCATCTGAATGTTCAATACAAATTTCAACCTAATAGTGATAATAGCAACATCACAACGGATATAAATGGGAGTCGTACAAATATTGTAATATTTGAAAAGTGATCAAGTCAGCAAAATAACAAGGAAAATAAAATTATGGACGCTTGCAAAAATTGTCACATAAAGCATAAACTCACATAGGTGTTAATATTAACCCCGAAGATTATAAAAAATTTAATCAAGAATTTAACTGAAAAATTACTATCCTGGAAGATTGATATTCCTTCAGGGAACAAATGTTCGGGCGATATCTTTCTGAAGATAGGTTACACAAAAGGGAGACACGGTTAAAAGCCGCGAGTGCCGCTTTATTTTAATGATCGCTGCTCGCAACCCCCTTCAACGCAACTCTTGTCGCGGAAAGTGGTGACCCGAGAGAGCTGTCATATTTTGACGTCCGCAGCGGGCGTTCTGGCCGGGAAGGGGAGACGAGAAGAAAAGAGATTATTTTTCGTCGCGCTGGGAGAAGTCAGAAATCAGTACGAAAGCGAACAACGATAGGGGGAAGCCCCTAATGGCTGGCAACCATCAATTCCACTTTTTCTTATCCGTGATCATCAACAAATTTTTACCACGTGATTTGGCTGCAATTTTGAAACTTTGGGATTTTAGAATTTTGCGATTGTTTTGGGACTTACGATTAGAGATATTGAAAGGGGAACATAGGTATTAAGGGGTGTAGAGAATGAGGATGTAGGAATATGAGGATATGGAAATAAGGGGATGTAAAGGGATTTGGGCATATAATAATTTAGGGACATGAAGATTTAGGCATATAATAATTTAGGGACATAGGAATTTGGGCATATAATAATTTAGGGACATAGGAATTTGGGCATGTAATAATTTTGAGGCATAGGAATTTGGGCATGTAATAATTTATAGACATTGAAATTTGGATACTTGACAATTTCAGAGATATAGAGATTTTAATGTGTAACAATTTGAAAATATAGGGATTTGAGAAAATATTAATTTGGGGATGTAGAGATTTGAGCATATTTCGATTTCAAAATGTAGGGATTTGGCCATATACCAATTTGGGCATATGACAATTTGGGGATATAGGAATTAGGTACATGACGATTTGGACTCTTAGATTTTGAATACCTGAGTATTTCATAATCTAAGATATCAAGGGTTTGAGAACTTTAATAGCAATTTAGAAATTTAGAAATTTGAGAATTTAGAAATCTTGAAACCTAGAATTTTGAGATCTTAGAGTACCAAAGTTTAAAACTGAATTGACTGAATTTAAAAATTCGATTACACCATAATTAACATTAAATTTGTCACAATATAAAAACAGGCCAATATCATTCATACAATATTATTCATACAAATATTATTCATGTCCACAAGTACTCCACAGTCAGCTACCTATCTCGAAAATAAAACCAGACGAGTAAATCCACTTCATTTCCCAATTTTCGTTAGTTTCGAAAGTCACAAATAGCGACGGCGGAAAATGCGGATCAAATTAAATCGCGCGATTACGTGCACGTCAGAGATCTCGAAACGGTTATAGTTTAACGATCGTCGGTCTCCGGGGGTTGGTATCTCGATGATCGGCCGTCCATCAACGACGTAAACGCGATCGTCAACAGTTGCGTTGAGTAACACTCTCCCTCGCTTTTAGAATCGCGACTCAAATTGACGTCCGCAGACACGGGCACCGCTTTGTCGAGTGGCAAACGAGAGTGACGAGCGTTGCGAATCTCGCTTAACGTTTCCATTGTGAACCAAGGCGAGGGAGAAAAATGTCATATACGTCGGCGGGACCCTGCGTTGAATTAATTCGATATCGCCGCGGTCTGACAGAGATTTGGTAATTACTGGAGAAACACTGATTTCCGGCGAATTATCGCGATATGCAGAATTCTCGTGGATTGTGAACGGCTTCAACACGTTTATGGAACTCTCTGCTCCGTTATCTGGCGGCGAATAATTAAATGGAGGGTTCCGCCATTTTGTGCGCAGCTAATGATACAGTCAATTGGAGGTTTGTAGCAGCACTGAACTCTTTGGAAGTTCTGAGAGTTCTGAACTCTTGGTAGATATTTAAATATATGTAGAACGTGTGGAAATATTGGTGGTACGTATATTTAGCAAGATATGAGTTTAACTTTTTGGAAATTTTCAATATTATTTTTTGGAGTAATGAAACTTGTATGTTTTTAAAGTAAATATTTTTACTTTTGACAACTGAAGATGCTGAAGACAGAAGCTTATATTTCTAGTAGCTCAAGATTTCTTTAGAAATTTAGATTCTAAACTTGCTTCCAAAAACACCATATAAGTCCTCAAATGCTCACAAATTTCCAGAAGGTCAAATTGTCAAATCCTCAAATTCCCAGATTCTCAAAGTGCTCAGATAAGAACATTCCCAAACTCCCAAAACCTCAAATCACCATAACCCAAAATATTCAAAAGGTCAAATTTTCACAATTCCAACATAAAGCCACCAAATCCTAAAAATTTCAAACTACCAAATTCCCAAATCCTCAAATCACCATAACCCAAAATATTCAAAAGGTCAAATTTTCACAATTCCAACATAAAGCCACCAAATCCTAAAAATTCCAAACCACCAAATTCCCAAATCTTCAAAGTGCTCAAATAAGAACATACCCAAACTCTCAAAACCTCGAATCAGCATAACCCAAAATACTTAAAAGACCAAATTTTCACAACCCCAACTTGAAGTCACTGAATCTCAAAAAGTCCAAACCACAAAATTCCCAAATTGTCAAATAAACAAATATTCTTAAATATTCAAATCTCCAAATCCTCAGGAGCTGAAATTCTCAAATATCCAATACATAACATGTCACTGCACATGTATACTTGTATAACCTATACAAGTGTATGATCACAAAAGACCTGAGATGGCCGATTATCGAGTAACCAGCGATTTATCTTGAGTTAGCGAGATGCTTGTCAATCTTGCGTATACAGTGTCATCGAGGAGGATCTCTGGCCATGAGAATAGCGATAGAGATAAACGATTCAATACGCGACAATGAATAATACTGGAGCAACGGTTAAACGTAGCAACGGATCGGGTCCGCCCACGAGGCTGTCCGAAGGGAAACCACCCGTAAAATCCAAAAGGGGTGCAGTGAAGCGGGAGCGGCGCAGGGGGCGCCAGGCGACTCTGTGACGCGATTATGCTAACGAAGTTATTCCATTGTAACGCTGTTTACAACGGCGCGCATTAAGGCTACACCGGAACAATGGCACCCCCTCTGGACCCCCACACCCCCCTGCGTACACAAGTCGGTGAATCCTCGAGGATCGCGCGGCCATTGTATGCTCTTTTCCGAAAGGAAATACACGCTTGACGATGGTGAACCGGAAAAATCTACCGAACGATATTAATGGAGAAATATACAGGATGTGTTTGCTTGTTTGCGACTTCTGAAGATTTTCTTTTGTTAGGTCTTTTGGCGTGGAGAGGCTTTGAGGTTTGTTTATAAAGTGGGTTGTGAGGAAATAGAGATTTTATGAGAAAAATGATGGTGCATTTGAAAATCATTAAATATGTGTGTTCTTGAATTTTTTAATTAAAATATTTCTTGTATTATGTCTTTGAGTGTTCGAACTTGTGAATTATGAAATATTCAAATTTCTGAATTATTGGTTTTCCAATTCTTTAGGTTTGAGTTTGGAAATTTCTGAATTTGATGTCGCTAAAATTACACATTTTTGAATTTCTAAATTTCAAACTTGAAAATTGTGAAATTCTCAAATCTTGAAATTTATAATTTCTATGAGTATAATTTCGCGAATTTTCAAATTTCCAGATTCCTAATTAGGCAAATTTTTAAATTTTCAGATTCCTAACATCCCACAACCCTAAATTCTCAAATCCCTAATTTCCTAAAGCCTTAAATTCTAAAATCCCTAA